TTTGTCTTCTGTTTCAGGAGGCAGAAATGCAGAACCTCCCTCATACTCTGATCCTAATCTACCCAGTGCAGTGTCCTGCTGCACCAGGAGCTGCTGGGGTGCTTCAGAGAGTGCTCCCTGCCCTCTGGGCTGGTTCTTGGCAGGAGGTTAATAGCGGAGTTCCTTCCAGATTAATTCTTGTCTGAGGCAAGATAGATGATTTGCATTTCTCTTAACCACATGCAAGATCTGGGCCATACATTGATCTGATCCTTTTAAAGTCTTAGCTGCCAGCTGGGTAAATTGCAGGGCAGGACTTGGTTTTAGCCTTGGAAGTTTCGGTGTAAGCTCATAATTATTGTCTCCTCCAGTGCTGCCAGGCTCCCTGAGATTTCTTCTCCGGGCACAGGAGCAATAGGATCTGCTTTTGACCATGTGCTTGATTTGTTGATTAAATTATGACAGTTGTTTGTTTTGGGTGTTGCAAAACTCCTCTTCTAAACATTGCATATGTTTCAAGTCAACAAGAAAAGTTGCCGGCTTCACTGAGCAGATTATAAGTTTTGTGAAAGTGTGAAAACATGGCATTTGGTTGTGAAATGTATGATTGAATCAAACTTGGTCTCCAACTGTTGATATTCTGAAGAAATTTTGGCTGGCACTTTGGTATAGCGGAGTCCCTCTGCCTGTCTCCAAGTTGTTTAATTTATAATTTCCATTCTGTGCCGTGGTTTCCTTTTTTTTTTTTTTTTTTTGTGAATTGAAAATTATTATTTTTGCTGCATTTATAGGGTATTTCAAGATATGCAGATTAAAAACATGTGCCTAAGCCACAGAAAGCTTCAGACTGGGTTTTGACCAAGTGCAGAAGCTGCAATCGCACTAAGTTTAATGCCTTTTAGTGACTCTGGAACAAGATGCCACTCTTCTAAACATGAATAAAACAATCAACAAGAATCTGGGGGAGAGTTGATCCCCAAATGCATGAAATTTGATTTCTCTGGTTAGACACCATAGCTATTAACATTCTCTGACAAGAACTGAAGAAGTTAGAATGTGATTTCTCATCAGTTAACCAGAAATACTTGGGCTGCAGTTTGACTACAGAATTCTTCCAGCTCTTCCTTGTAGTGCACCCCGATGTCAGTGATCTTATTTTACAGATGCTTTCCTGTGCCATGTCTGCAGAAGTGCAGCTGAAAAACTTGTTGGCATTTGCTTTTTGTTTATCATCCTCTAAAGTCCCAACTGTTGGCTGGAGGTCATGGATATGGGCAGACTTGTATCTCAGGAGATCTGCTGTTTATTTTGCAGAAATAAATAAAAAAGTACAAGCTTGGCAGTTTTCTCCTAAACTTCTTGGACCTGCTTCTCATCTGTGTTGTAAAGGGATCTTTTGAAGGTGCTCTAAGGAGATGAAGATGCATCCGAGAGCACCTGGCAGCATGTGCCCTTCTCAGGGCAGTGAGAACTGCTGTCCTGGCTACACCAGGAAGAGCAGCAGGGCTCTGCCCGGGAATCAATGATTTGCTCCAGCTGCTCCATATCCTGTCTCTGTTCTTGTCCTTTCCCACCTCTGTGAGTTCAAGGCTGTTGGAATATTGCTGCTTCTGGTGTGGGGTTTGCCATTTGTGATGAGTAGGACGTGCCATTTAGCAAGCAGGCAGTGAGTAGCTACTCTTGGCTTTATCTCTCAGTCTAGTTTGTGGTTGGAGACCTGTGTGCTGGTTGTGGGTTTTTATGTGCGTCACTGAACCCAGAAATTTTATTATATTCTCAGAAAAGGGTTTTGCAACAGCTCAGCTATTAAAGCCAAACCATGTAGTTTAGTAAAAAGTCTGGGCAGGAAACAAAATGAAATTCATCCTAGGGGAGAAGCGTGGTGCATGTAGGCTGGGAAGAGAATGCAAATATACTATTTATAGGACTAGGGGAAAACAAATTTGGACTTGAGGAGTAAATGCGAAGGAGTTATCCGGGAAAAACCAGCTTTGGCCCTCTGAGACACTCAGACCTGTGCTGCCAGAGTGCTTATCCATTTTGGAGAATTCGTTACATTCCAACAAAGAAGAAAAGGTTGACATTGAAATCCGTGACATTGAAATCCATGCTGCACAGAGCCCCTTCCACTGTCCTTTAGGAGTTTATGCTATGGATGATGCTTGGGAAGGGGAAATACTTGAACCGGTATTTTTTTAAGCAGTACCAAAACAGCTGAGGCCAGTGCCTGCTCCTGGGGGTTCCTGCAGGATGAACAGGCAGAGCTGCGTGCAGGGAGAAGGGGAGGGATGAGTGCATTTGCTCCTGATCAGACTGATCAAGTCATTGGCAGAGCCAGGAGTGCAGCCCAGCTGTGTTCTCTTACTCATGTGATGCTTCTGGTGTTACTCTGAGGTTGGCCAGGAGAGCTTCTGCGAGGAGTGCAAAAGCAGTGGCTGTACCTCAGCAATGTCCTGCCTCGAGCAGCGTGCTGTCCTCGTGACACTGCACGCTGGAATGGGATAACGTGGGGCACACACTTTCTGTATTGTTTCCTTTACATAATTTGTGATTTTTCATGTATAAATAGATGCTAAGCCCTCCTTCCACTGTGGTTTTTGGAGCAGATACTGACACCTCCATTGCCTGCAGTTCCTTGCTTTATTCTGGATCATGTGCTACTTTTAGGGCATTTGCCAGTTATTAGTGTTCCATATAACGAAGCGTGGGGCTCTGACTTTACAGAGTGTGCTGATAGTTCATCCTTCTTCCAGGAAAAATAAATTTTGCCTGATGGGAGATCCTACAGTAAAACAACAGATTACAGTCAGACTGCAGAGCTGAGCTGCTGCTTTACACACAGGCTCATCAGGGCTAGCTGTACCAGTTCCAAAATCACTGTGCAATCTTGCCTCGGTCCCTAGGTGCTCCGCAACGCTGAGGCGTGCCCAGGAATGGGGAAGGGTGAGGTGAACCAGGGGCAGCAGGAGGAACATCCTGCAGTGCCCTGGGAATTCCATGTACAGGCTTACAAACACAGGCTGAGCTGTTTGCCTGGGGCTGGATGTTGTGGTTGCAGTTTGTGTATCAGAACACATATCGTCATTGGCCCTTCCCTCGAGTGGCCTCTGGAAAGAGACAAGGCTTGGGTGATTTCTGTCTTCTCTTTTCCATGACATAGCTATTGCACGTTGGGAAGCTGTTTTTCATTTGTGTAGGCTGATTTTTGGCATACTGGGGGCTGTTAAGTATACAAACTTCCTGCAGCCTCTTCTTTCTGTCTGTCCTGAGGGGCCCTTGCCCATCTCCTCATCCCAGCCTGTCCAGTGTCAGTCCATAGAGGGGAAAGGCACACTGAGAAGAAAGAGCATTTAAACCAAGCCCTAAGCAGGAAAATGCTTGGGACAGCACCTCCAAGCCCTTTCTGCCATGGCAGTGAACAGGAGTGCTCTGTGGACAGGCTGCTGTGGGAAAGGATGTGTGACAGTGAGAAAGCAGAAGGTCAGGACTGAGGCAGCCAGTGACACACATGTGCCCCTGCCTGTGTGGGGCTGCCTGGAGGATCCCAGCTCCCCTGCTCCAGAGCCAGGGGAGCTCAGGGCAGGGCACAGCCGAGGGGCTGGTACGGAGAGAGAGCAGCCAGCAACACAGCCAGCAGCAGCCTGTGCCCGTCACACAGGGCCCAGCACGTGGCACATGTGGCACACACAGCAGGGACAGAGCCCCTGGCTGGGCTCTGCCAGGCACACAGCAGCAGCAACCCAACAGTGTGGCAGCCACTGGAGCCCAGACACTGCTGAGCCCATGGCCAGTCCCTCCTGAGGGTGGCCATGCCCTGCCCTGCTCTGGCCAGAGGAAGCAGACAAGGGGTGGAAAAAAGGAAGTGCTGTCAGCCCCTTTGTATGGAAAGAGGTACTGAGAACCATGATTGGGATTTCTAGTTCCTTGCGGATCTGGCACTCCAAAGCTGCATTGGGAAGTTATGAAAAGGCTCCCCTGGTTTCAGCAGGGTGGTCAGAGTCAGAATACAAAGGGATGGCTTAGTTTCTAGGACATGGCAGTCCTGGACTGCCTCTCCTGGGAATGGCAGTGCTTTGCATTGCTCTGGGCATGGCAGGAATTGGAATCACTTTGGTATTCACACACTTTTTGATAAATTTTAAATTGTACGACACTGCTGTCAGAATTCAGTGTGTGTGCAGAGATAAACTTGTTATACCTGATGGTTGAAAGGAATAGATTGCTCATAAAACATAATCTCAACTAACTTCATAGGAAAACACTTAAACTCTAAGAGGAGACACATTATAATGGTCAAAGAATCCATGTTTGTTTTTTCCTTTACATTTTCAGTCTGATAATGTCACAAATGCTAAAATTTGTTGACTAAGAACAAGTTCTGGTTTATAAATCATGGATCAACTAACTTGCTTTGAGGCATTGTTTTGTTAGGAAGGTTTTGAAGCTTAAGCCTGCCTCATGGGAATGTGTGACACAGTGAGCAATCTTTGGAGAGTATTTTCTTTTTGATAAGCAAACATAAGGCACAGATAATACTCATTTTTGCTGTTTTATTCTTCTGTGACTAAAGTGAAGAATTCTGTGTAGTGCATTGTCCATGAGATGGTCGGATGATAAAAGCTTTGGAATAAAATTTTAGAAGATGTGCAGCAATCATCTAGTCCAACTGTCTGAATTTTTGTTCTTTTAAGTTAACTGCTTTTAATGTTGATTTTGTAATAGAAATGCCCATCAGATAACAGACCTCAGAGACTTTGGGTACTTTGGCTACTCCTGCCTCAGAACTGCTGTTGATGGGGGTTTAGAGTAGGTCCTGCCTTCTGTTGGAATGGTGAAGAGCAAAGATGCTCAGCATGAGGGAAATGTACCACATGGATTTCCCCGAGAGCTCCTAGGAGGATGTCATTCCTATGTCATGAAAGAGCCTTGCTCACAAGCCAGCATCCCCTGTGTACAAACACAGCCTGGGAAGGGTCAGCACATGCCAAGGAAGCTCACAGTTTTCTTTCTGGACCCCACAGGTGAAGCTGATTGACTACATCCACAGGCAGCGACAGTGCAAGCTGAGCGTGCCCCTGAGCGACCGCACCGCGGAGCTCAACAGCTACCCCCGCTTCAACGACTGGCTGGACATCGTCAATGTCAGGAAGGAGGTGGTGCAGGTAAGCAGGGGGACACAGCCCTCACACAGAGCCCTCCTGTCCCTTCAGTGCCTTTCCCAGCTGCCTGCTGGGTCTGAGAGCCACAGCAGGACTTAATCACTACCTTTTTGGTACTGATAGTACTGTGCTGCACTGTGTTCTGTGTCCAGTATTAGCCGAAACAGGACCATTGTTACAGTCTCACACACACACACACACACACACACACACATGCATGTAGAGCTCAGTCCACTGACAGCTAAATGAGGCAGAAAAGGCTTTTTCTATTCTTTTTCCCATTTTTGCCTCTGCAGGCCAGGTCATGGTGTTCTCATTCAATTCTCTTTGATCATTAAACAACCAAAAATTTTCTTTGACCTCAGCAGGAATCTGCCTGGGTGAAAAATTCCACCAATTTCCATGCAAGTTATTCTAGCTTGGTTCTGATGTAACTAAGTGGTCTCTGGTGAAACAGGATGGCTTCAGGACCAAGTTGTTACTTTTATTTCCTACTGTTCATTTTGAATGTGATGCTGGTGCTGCCTTCCAGCCCAGCAAAGTTTTGGGTTGCACAGCCAGAGGTGCAGCAGTGACAATGAGAGGACAAAAGCAGCCTGTTGACGTGGCCAAACTGCTAGGCTCCCAGCTAGTGTTGGTTTCTAAGGTTACTGGAATTGCCTGAGTCTAAAAGAATGTCTTTGTAGCTTTTTTATAAATCCTTTGTGATGCTTACAGAACAGGGGGCAGGGAAGAGGTGAAGAAAAGCAGGGAGGGAGGTGGACAGTTAAAATCTGCCAGATCCTGCTAAATTAGGGAGCAGAGAGGGTTGAGACTGCCCTTCTGTATGTGTGGTCACCAAAAGGAGTGAACAAATTTGGGTTTGGTCTAAGGCAGAATGAATTTTCCAGATCTTTATTATTCATGTTCTCTTGCTGCCCCCTCCCAAACAGTATCCAATTGAATGAACTCTGTTCCTTCTGGGACAGAACTGTAAGAAGTGTAGAAAGTACTGAAATTCCTTTGGGATTCCAAATGTATGGTTGGTTATCTTTTAAGGGGACTGCATCCATTTCATGCAGCTGCAGGCAACTTCTGTAGCACTTGTATTAGCTGGACAGCAGAACTGCAACACCCTGTGGGTCATTAAAATAATTTCTGAGTAGGCATGCTGGAACAGGCTGTGAGCTGGGGGGAGTGGAAATAGCTGGGCTAATAAACTAAGTGCTCTGCTCTTGCAGTGATTTTTTTTTTTTTTTTTTTTTTTTTGGTGCTGTTATTTCACTGCTCAGAAAATAGCCATGCAGCCACTGTTGGTGTTGGACACTGACATCAGCACTGTGCTGAGAGCTGTCTGGGATGAGTTACCTTTCAGAAATGTCTCCGGTATCATGGGATCATTCCTGCTCTTGTCCAGGTTTCATACAGCATGTTGAACTGCTGAAAAGCAGTTTTCAGCTGAAAGCTTTCAAAATGGAAATCACTGACAGAAGGAGCTTTAATAGGTTAGTTATTACAAAATCTAGAGTGGTTTCTCGCTTTGTGCACCCTGCCTGTAACAGGATGGGGAGGAGCCTTTGCAGACAGGGTTGAGCAGGCCACCCTGAAAATAGGGACCCTCAAGTGGTTCTGGTTCTGTGCTACTGGGAACAGCTTCCCATCTCTCAGATGCTGTTAGCTTGCTGTAAAATGGAAATAGCCATGCTGGGTTCCATTCTTAAGGCTTTCAAAAAAACAGAGCAGAGAGGAGGAAAACTGCACAAGTGTCACAGCGTGTTCACATGGCACATGGCCCCCTCTTCTTGTGCCTTTTAGGCCATGAAACTGATTGGAGAGATTGCCAAGTACCTGTGGAGTCCTAGAAGAGCTGCCTCAGAGCCCTGCCCTGGGCACCTCTGAGAGCTGAACAGAACAGCAGGTCTGGCACAGGAAGAGGTACGCTGGAGGGCTCTCTCTTGCTTGCTTGTCAGGGACAAATCAGGAGAAAGGCCTGAGTTCATGGGGTTTTTGCTTTTTTAAATGGTTCTGATTCTCTTTGCATTTTTAGTGCTATTGGAGGGATTTTCAAGACTGTGCTAATCTGTGACATAACTCCGTTGAAAAGCAGCCTAATTGCAGGAGTTCTTTAGCTCAGTGGTGAGAGGAACAATGCTCTGTTTCTCTGTCTCCCCTCCCCTCCCCTCGCTCCCCCCAGTCTTCTCCCAAATAAAGCTGCCATGCAGGGAAGCACAGAAGCTCCCAGGCTCTCCTGTCAGAAATAGAGCAGCAGCTCCAATTTAGAATATCTGCTGACTCCTCTACTCCTGAGTGAAGACTATTTTTGCTCAGTGACTTGCTCTAGACATTGTGAAGCTCAAAAGCTCTGGTGATTATAATTGCTGGGCTCCTTTATTTCTTTGAAAAACTATATTTAAAATGAGAATAATGACTGCTGGTAAAATCCTTTAGTTCTGGAAGAGATTACAGCAATAACAATGCAGTGTTTATGGCGCTGGGCAACAGCTAAAGCTGCCGAGAGCTCGGACAGCAGAGAGCCGGTGACGCTGCGCCGGGTGCGAGGGCTGGGCTGTGCCGACCTTGTGGGCCTGCAGGTAGGTGGGCACTGCCAGCTCCCAGTCTGGGATCCTGTTGGCTCTCTGGGAATACACAGTTCTGAGGGGTAAGGAAACTTGGAACCCCCACCCCAACCTGTGCTATTTCTGTGGCTTTGTTACTGTTCCTCTAATCGGTTGCCAGACAGATTTTTATCATAGAAAGTGGTAGCAGGCTCTGTTCTGGAGCTGGGTTAATGTGGTGCTGTAACTTGCTTTTTAAGTATTTCTCTAGTGAATGCTGGAGTCCTTGTTTTTGCTTAGGAGTTATAAGCAATTAATCTAATAGATTAATTCTAGAGACCAATTGTATGTATAGTTTAATAGCAAAAATGATGTATAAATGGTTAAATATGGTGGATTGAAAGTGAGCAAAGAGGTACTTGAACTGAGACGTAGAAAAAACAGGGCAAGGAGCCTTACAGACAGAAGGCGTGTTTATGCTATGTAGTCATCTCAAGCAGGTAAAAGTTGCTCTGAAAATGGTCCTAGAAAAATACATTGATCTGGATTGTCCTGCTTGCCTTGGGAGTTGGTGTCAGGAATTGGGAGGGGAGTGGGAGGGAAGGAGAATGAGAACAAGAGTGCTGTCTCCACTCTTGAGCTGATGGAAGAAGTCTCCCGCAAAGCTATTTTCTGGGTTCTGAGTTTGGAGCATGTCTGCCAAATAGAAGAGACTAAAAAAAATTCTGTTGGCTTATTTTCTTCAGCACAGAAAGCCATTTTCTCTGCCTTTATCACTGTGCTTCCCAGAAACATAACTATTGTATTTGTTCCCACATGTAAATTGTCATTGTCTTAAAAACTAACTTAAGAACAGAGTCATCTTCTTACCATATTCTGAAGCATGTCTGGGCCAGCCCTGCTGGCTGTGGAGCAGGGGTGCCAGTCAGTCAAGCTTGGAAAGCTGTTTTTAGAGTGGGTAACTGTCATACATGGGGAGGGGCACATCCTGCCCTGGGGTCTGCTGGCCACGAGCAGGGCTGTGCCACCAGGAGCAGGTGGAACAGGGCTGCAGTTGGGCTGCTTTGTGGCTGTTCCTTTTGGGAACAGATTTGAGTCCCAATTGTGCCCTGGCAGCCTTTTCTGGGATACCTCCTGCCTGCCTGTGCAGCCCATCCCCAGCCAGCATTGATGCCAAAGACCTGCAGAGCAGAGCAAGGCAGGGGCAGTGCTGGGCACGGCGGGAGCAGAGCAGGCAGGGCTCGTGCCTTGAGCAGGAATTGTCTGCCAGGGGCCTCGTACTGCCCTGTGAAAATGCCTCTGTCATGGGTGAACCACGGGCCTGGGGCTGCTGTGAGCCCCTGCAGAGGGTTCTGTTTGCACAGGGTGGCCCAGCTTGTAGCAGATCTGTCATTGGAGGAGTTGTGAGGGTTTTTTGTGAGTGCATCCTTTGGATGGGAGATAGAAGAAGCAGATCTGCCTACACCTATCAGGTTTCCACAGCTGTATCCTCTCATCTTTTTCTGTCAGTGTATCTGCATGAACAGGCCATGAGGACCGTGGCTGTTTGTTGGGGATTTCCATGGATCTGGCAGCAGGAGCTCTGGCTGGCCCACCAGATAGCAGAGATCCTGGCTGTGCTAATTGTGTCTATGCAAATTAACTCTGTCCTGCAGCCTTCCTTGAACTAATATTCCCTCACTGTTCCAGCTGAAGGCCCCTTCCCAGTGTAAGCAGCTCTTGGAAAATAGTCTCTACCACTTCCAGGCTTCCCCTTCCCTGCCATGGGTTCCAGGTGCCCCTTGCAGCCTTGGCCACCGTGAACCTTCGTGGCCTGAAGTCAGCCCAAGGGATCTGCAACTGCTACACCTGGCTGCCACAGAAGAGTAGTGACAGCAGCTCTCTTGTCCCCAAAGAGCCAACTGGACAGAATGCCCTGAGCCTGTCAACTCCTTGCCAGCTTCTGCTGCGAAGTGAAACAGTGAGGAGGGTGATGTTAGGTGAAACCATAGCCTGTTTATGCTCACAGCTTAATGCAAGCTGGAAATTTCAAGTGAGAAGGCTTTCCAGAATGCCCATAAAATCTCTAGGAATTTAATAATACAGCAATTTTTCAGTACCTTCATCACTGGGCACCAGAAAAATAGTGCAAAATAACAACTAGCAGGCACAAGATACTCTTAAGAGCATCTTTACATGCTTTGCTTAGAGCTGTCAGTGGGAATTTAAGCACCTTATGTAATGGGCTTTCTCTTCTAGCATCTGCTGTTTCACGGGAGGATGATTGGAGAGGGAATGTATTGATTTTAGAGGAGGCATTTGGGGCCTTGACAACTGTCCAGCTCTACAGGAAGAGCTGTGGCTACTGGGTCAAGGAGCAGATCAGGCTGATTTTGCAGAGTGCCTGCAGCAGCATTAGCTACGTAGGCTTATCTGCAGGGTGGAATCTTTACCAAAAATAACCCCTCCACTGTGTTAGATACCAGCATTTTTGTCATGTTTCAGGGATTTAAATTGGACACTAGACAAGATTAAAGACTGTTGTGAACTCTTCACCCTGAGTAATTGAGACTGACCCTTGGATGGCTCCTTGGATGCATTGGTACTCACTTTTCTCTCTTTAGACATGTGCACCATGAAGTGCAGTCTGTGTCTGATATGCAGGAGGGCTTTAGGGAAAAGTCCTCTTACCTGTTGTAGGGAGGAATAATTTCCTGCTTTGGACTTTTTAGCATCTCTTCTGCTGAGCAGTGCATGGTTAGGCTTTAGATTTTGCTGGCAGTTATGAGGTGCTGAAGATTGAAAGCAGATTCTGTTTTCTCCTGCTTTTTCTCTCTGTTTTTAAATCTGACCTTGTTAGTAGAGTACTGTCTGAATATCTTGCAGCTCTCCCTGTCAGGACAAGGTGTGCCCAGGGAGGTGGTGTTGAGCTTGGTCCTAATGCAAGCCTTTAATCTGCATTTTTAAAGCTGTTTTTAAAAGCCTCAGCACCCACTGAAGAAGCAGGTAAAGAGAGATCTGCTGGACTCACATTTCTCACTCTCAGAGGTGAGGAGTGGGAGTAACCCCTGTGCAAGGGTCCAGAGCTGCACTGAGGGGCCAGAGCCCCCCACATACCCCTGAGCAGGGGCCCTCCCCCCACAGCAGCTGAGCCAGGGCAGCAGCAGAACATGTTTGAGAGCCACCCTGAACTAGTGACCCTCCTCACTGTCACACTGCCTGGGGGGTGACACACAGCCAAGGCAGAGCAGGCCAATCTTACAGGGATCAGGTTGACCAGTTTTATATTAAGCCACCACATATGTGCAGCACATGAGTGGCTGTTTAAAGAAAGCCTCTTACTTCCCCTCCCTCCCCCTCTTTTAAGGCTTATTTCTTTTGTCGCGTGTCATGGGGGCTGGAAGCAGGTTCAGAAAGTCTGAGCTCTCCCAGCTCAAGGTCATTTGGATTGTTTAAATACAATCTCCTTTTCTGTACTTTCTACTTTCCTACAACTTGCTATTCTGTCTTTCTAAAATTCAACTACTGAGCAGAAGAGGAGCTTGGGCTCTGTGTGGGTGTGGCCCCCTCGGGCAGGGTCTGTGTAGGAGAGGGCTGGGGTGCAGAGCTGGGCCTTGGGGGGACCATCACAGACCAGTCAGCTCTAGGCAGAGACTGTGTCCTCCAAAGGGATGAGGCAAAGGAAGAGCACCCTGACACTTAAGAGCTCAAGAGCTTGACATCTTAAAAAAATCGTTTTCTTTGCAACCAGGAAGGCTTGAATCCTTGATGCAGCTTGAAGGTTGGTTCCTGCCACAGAACAGGCATTGGAGAAACCAGATCCCCAGCAGTGCAGCCACCAGTGCCGCCCCAGCTGGTCCTGCATTCCAGCTACCACTGGCTTTGGTGGGAAGCTCTGCTCTCCTGAGGAAACCTTGGTTTCTTCCACTTCACCAGCTAGCTTATTAACAGTTCTGTTAAGTTTCTGGGCATGAAAGCCTAGGAAGTGAGGGGATCCTGAGCAACGGGACTGGGGAGCTCCTGTTGGGATCTGGAATGATGCTCCTACCTACAGCAAGAGCTACGTAGTCTGTGTTGTTTTCTTAGAGGGGAATGCTGAGAGTGAGGAAATGTTTCAAAGTAATTCAAAACTGGCATCACTGTAATTCCACTTACTCTAATACTGTGGAACAGTATGAAATAAGATAAATGTTTTTGTAAGACATTGGCTTTTCATTATGCTTCACAGGGCACCACTGGCTGCCTGGCTCCAAGAGCACCTGGGCTGGGGTAAAAAACTGTCTCCATGTCCAACTAAACCTTGATCCCTGTTTCCCCCTGTCCCCTTTAGAGTGCTGGAGTCCTTCTACCGGGGGCCTGGTCCTGCATGGCAGAACAAGGCTGCTTCTGTGAGCTGCCAGGGAGAGGAATTCAGGGGGTGCTGGGGGAAGGACTCATTCTGTGAGAGAGACTTGGTGCAGTTCTGGTGGCACCAGCCCAGCTCAGCTGGGGCTCTGTGTGAACAAACTGTGCTGCCTTCATGCTGGGGTGTTGGAATTGTGGAAACACATTGCAGGTCCAGCTCTGAGCATCTGGACCCCTGGGAGTTTTATTTTTTGGAGTGTGATGGCAGGGCAGGAGACAGATTTTTCACTGTCTCTGTTCTTTATGAACTTTATCTAAGTCATTCAGGAACAAGCTTTTGGGGGCAGTCTTATTCCTGTGTCATGGTGGTGCAGATGTGCAGAAAAATGAGTAATACCCAGCATCAGTTGTGATGTCTGTGCTTCTGCTATTCTGCAAAGACTAGTTATAGATATAAAAAAAAAAGGAAAATCTACCCAAACTTCATTGAACTCTGGCTCTGCTCTGGTCCTGCTTCGTGCTTACTGCTCATTTAAATTCCTGGCCTCCCTTTGAGTCAGCTGTGTTTTGTGTTTCATCCAGTTCAGGGCATGTGACAGAAGATTCAGGATGTGTTTCTTAGACTTCTGCTCTTTCTTTATTTATTCTTTTTCTTTGCTCCATGGTACAGTTACTAAAATTAGGAACTTTGTGTTGCCACCTACAAAGCTCCAAAGGTTGGGACTGTTGAGCGCTGTCACAGCTGAAAGTCCTGCATCAGCTCTCAAAGCAAGAGTCTGGGTTAGAAAAAACGCAATTATTAAAGGACATTCAGCACATTCATGTCTGCTTTTGAGTTGGAAGTAGGATTTAAGGACTAGAGGATTTCAAGCTTTTTGTTTCACCAAGCAGTGAGACACACTTTTGAGCTTCCCCTTCAAATGAAGTTTAAAACCTTTTATATAGATTGATTCCAGGAGTTGAAACTTTAGGATAAAGGACAAATATTGTGAAATTTGTGATCTCATTGTGAGAATAGGCATCAGGGAGGTTTGTTAAGGCAGAACTTTTCAGGGAAATTCCTGGGTATCTGGGCTAAGTATCCTGGTTTTGTTTATTAACCACAATTGCTGCAGACTTACACTGGAAACACTTGAATGGGGGAGGAAAGAGACACAGCTCAGTTCTGTCAGGAAATACCAGATCATTTTGTGCTTTCCAGGCTCTTGTATCTTTTGTGTCTGCCTGATCTGAACCTTATCACTGTGGGGCTTTGGTGTATTAAGATGTAGAAGGAGTTCTGCACAGATATCTCTCCAGGCAGGATACGGGTAAGGCTGGTTCTCTGATGAAGGAAAAACAGCTTGAGGAGGAGGCCGCTATCTTTGTCAAAATATTTTTTTTTTGTTCAAATAAAGAAGTAATTTTCCTCACTGTTTCTGCTGTTCACTTCAGTACTGAAAAGCCAGATGTGCTTATCTGACACTTTTTAAGGTTTTAGACCTGTTTTATTTCTGACTGTATTTTTAATGAACAAGTTAAATTTCATTAGTAGCTTTGCCAAAATTTCCCACAAGGGGGGAAGAGTATTTTGATTCCTTGTAATCCTAAGTGGAATAGCAGAAGATGACCAGTGCCAGAGGTGCAAAGCACACTCACACCCCAGGCAGGAGAGAGAGCAGCTGTGGCACTGCTGGCCCTGCCAGAGAGGGGCTCTGCCAAAAGGAGTGAGCCATGAGTCAGCCCAGGCAGTGAGACAGTGCCACTGCTGAAAGTACCTGACAGGTGACACTCATACATAGAGAGTAACAAAAAGGGTCTTGTCTTCTTTTCCCACAGAGAATACCAGAGGAGCTGACCCTGGATGCCTTACTAGAAATGAATGAGTCAAAGGTGAAAGAAACAATGAAGAGATGTGGAGCCAGAGATGAGGAGTGCTCCAGGCTCAACGGGGCCCTGAGCTGCCTGCGGAAGGTGACGGAGTCAGGTACAGACTGCCTTGTTCTCCTGTGGAATTGGTGTCCCAGCAGCCCAGCCCCATCTGCTGCCTGCCAGACACTGTTTGGGGATGTTCTGTAACCATGGTCAGTGTATAGCTCTGGAATGTGCACAAAGGTACACTGATCAAACCTATCTAGAACTGTCAGTTTGGTTTAGTTTGGACATCAGGTCAGGCAAATAAATGGAAGTAAATGTATGTAGAATCCTCTCCTACTCAGTAGACTATATCCTTATTAACCCTTGCTGTTCAGGTTTGTGTCTAATGCTCCAGTTCATGCTCCATGGGTCAGCACACATCCTTAACTTATTAAATACAACTAGATTCCTTATAGGTGATGCCTTCCCCAAATATTGCCAGCTCAGAGAGAAACCTTCCCCAAGCACTGTAAAATCTGTTTGTACAAGAGCCTCTCCCAGCAGACTGGTACTCATGCACCACATCTTTCTTTGTGCAGTTATCAATCTGTCACTGAAAGGTGATGTTTCCTGCTGGTATTATGACAGTTCATCCATTTGCAAAATAGTAAAGATTAGTTAATGGAAAAAGTCAGCAAACAACTCAGTCTCATATTTCCTTTTTTCTAATCTTTCTTGTCCCAGGCTGTCAAACATTTCCCATCCACACTGTATAAACCAGCCATTGCTCAGGAGTCATGGCATCACCTCTTAGAAAGAAATGGCATGTTTAGAAACCCAGGTATATGTCTCTCTAAAGATGAAATCAGGCCCTGTGCTGAATTTTCCCAGCCTGAGGCCCTGCTGAGGCCCAGGGGAGAGATCATTGCCAGGTGAAACGGGCACCACAGCCCTGCCCAGGAGGGCCTGGGAGCCACGGGCTCGGTGCAGGCAGTGCCCTCCTGCCGGGGCCGTCACTAACGCTGCTCTGTTGGACAGCAGGAGAGCCGAGGGACGATGTGCCGATGGCCCTTCCCGAGCGCCGAGACAGCTCCTGCTCGCAGCCGGAGCCCGCCCGGGCCCCGAGTGCCCCGGCCAAGGGCAGCCAGCAGCAGCCGCGCTCCGTGTC